TCCCATGAGGAGACACATAATAATAATGGCAGCAGCAGTGAGAGTGAGCACGGGGCTGTAGGGTGTGGTTGAGCCGTGCATACGCGGATGGCGGGACGTTAGCAGGCTGTAGTCTAACGCACCGGTCTCTCTCGGCCAAGTGTTGCCACAATACCACCTTAAGAGGAGATAATAAATAGAACGATGAGACCATCTTGACAGCGGACAACTGAATGGTAATTGATGAGCTGCAGTCCAGCGCGCGTCCAACGTGACATGTGGCTATCCATCACGCGAGTGGTCACAGAGTGGTCAACCGTTAGCATAGCATATAGCAGGAAGACCATGAATATCTCTTCGTACTATAGCGGGGCCCAGCACTTCCAGTACTCGCTGGACTAGACTAATGGGGAAAATACTACACGCCATGTGTAAACCTGCAGTTCCAAGCACTTTAAACTCGTTAGAAACCACTTTGTGTGGTTTCTAAACTAATATTTTAGGGTCTGCTCTGCTCTAACCCTTGAGTGCTGAGGGTTAGCAAAATCGCCATTAGCAGGAATATATTTAGCTGTTGACGTACACACTGTATGATGTGTCTTGGTGGAGGATGGTGGAGACGTGTTATATCACGATTATCGCAATTGAGGCGTTACAAGAATATCCCCCGTGTGCAATTAAAAAAGTACTTATAGTAATATATATTATATAGTAGTATTCTATTGTATGTTCAATTTTAAGTGACTTAAAAAAAAAAACATTGCACTTTTTGTTTTTAGTCATTTGAATTAAAGCTACAAAAGCTACAATTTTTGGTGAATGAGCTAGGCTATGGGCTGTTAGCTGGGTTAGCTTAGACCAGCCTAGCATTGGTTGAGACTCATGTACACAACACGGTGCGGTAAACACTAGATGTGGTGAATGTCACTCATTAAAGACAGTTCCTCACGGGCTCTCTGACCTTAGGAACGCTAGCAGTGTGGACGTTATGTACTTCAGTGTTAGCCGTGCTAGCTGTTTTTACTAAAGAACAGAGTTACACTAATATAGACTTCAAGTATGAGGCTAACCTCCTGTTGAAGGTTTTGTTTTAGAATTGTCTTTTTTTGTGTGTGTACTCAAGTGTGCGTTTATAGTACTAGCTAGTTCATAAGCGCAGCAGTTCCTCGAAGAAAGGACACTTTCTCCTTTCGTACCTTGATGGCGAAGGTGCTAACAGGAAAATGCTAATGTTTGACAGCTGTTTATTCATTATAACAAACATGGAGCTTCGTAAGGAGATAATGCTAATTTTCAAAACATGTTACCGTACCATTACAGTACTGCGAAATGAAATATTTGATTTTTAAAACCATCGCAGATTTTTTAATTTTTTTTTTTTTTAACGTTGTTATTGCCTCTTCTCATGTGATAGTGATGACACAGCTACAAGATGGCAGTATGAATAAATGATGGGCTTTCAGTGGCTTCAGCTCAATAGTTTTGGCATCAGTATTCTTCCAGGTGCAGGCACACGGGACCTGACGTGAGCACTTACTATCTGTCCTGGAAGGAAAGTCTCTCCTTTTAGAAATGATCATAAAGGGATAAGGGCTTTAGTGAGATGAAGGCTATCAATACACAAGGTAGAATTAATTACTTCCTGCAAGTAAAAAAACATGGTTCTGGAAGAATCTGTGGAACCCTATTTGTATGAACAAAAAATATATACGTTAGCTTTATCGAATCCACATGGTGATGACCGAAATATCTCGCAATGAATCGGCTACATGTGAACCAAAAGTGCTGAATTGCGAGACAGGTTTTTAGATTTACATATTTAATCTATAATTTGCACTATAAAAAAAGCTTAGCCTGGTTACCTCCGATGTCCGATAATATCGGCCCGATATTAGCTTATTATGTAATATCTGTAAGAATCGTTAACGGTTTTTACTCCGATAGTGAAAACCCGATAATGCAATGCCTGGGTTTTCGCCAAATGATTTGCGCCCTAAAAAGAGTTTTGGGCATAAACGGCTGTATATTAAAGTGAAAGTCACTAGATGGCAGCGTTGCAGCTCATTGAATTAATCTCACCCTCATACAGTGGTTTGTACAGATGAATAAATAAATTTGACCAGGCCTATATCGGTATCGGTTGATATCGGAATCGGAAATTGTGAAAAGTATCGGGATATCGGATATGGGCAAAAAGTTAATATCGGACATCCCTACGATATTTACGTTTAAAAAACGTAACGTGAGATTCTGTAAAACACCTATGAAGTGCTGGTGGTTTAAAATGGAAAATATTTTTAGTCGGAAATTTTGAGAAACAGTGATTGGTTTGATGTTGTAAATACAGGACGGTGTCGGATTCGTGAACAGAGGAAGGATTCATTGTTCAGTACAAACGGACGTGTGCGTGGACGGACGATAAATGGGTGTATGAATAGATAAATCGACTCTTAATGACAGACGGATGAGCCGTATCGTTGTCGAGCATTCAACAAAAACGTTAGCGTGCGGCTAATGTTCATAAATGTCTTTGTCTTTGTTCCAGCTGCTGTCCTGAAACATAAGGAATATATTAAAACGCGTATGTGTACGTGCCTGTGAAAACAGAGTACTCTGATGGGTGTGTGTGTCGTCAGTTTCGTCATTTCCTGCTGTAAATATCGGCGTCAGAGCGAACGCCGAACGACAGGTCGGCAGAAGACCTGGGGCCAAAGGTTGAGTTGACGGCAGCGGACGATTTGTTTTAAGCCAACAAAGGAGATAAACAGTGTAGGGCGGCAGCTGTTTTCCACGACGACTACTGCGCGTGAAGTCATACTTCGTGTATTGAACTGATTTTGAATCGTGCTTTAAAATCAATGAAGAAAAAACACATTATTTTTGACGGAGAAACGTCAAAGAAACTTAGATCGGTTGAACTAAAATACACAAAAAATAATAATAAATAATATAATAAATGAATATTTGGTCATAAATTTAACCTCCTGTCCCTTCTTCAATAACACTACGCCCCCTCAAGGGGCCCCAAACCTTACTTTGAGAACCACAGTATTCACATAGTTCAAAATCCTTTAATCCGTTTCCTCTTTTATGTGAACATATGAAACACATGTTATAATTATGGTCCGTTTAGCGAAGGTTGTGGGGGGGGGGGGGGGGTCCGATCAGGAAATGGAGGATCTTGACTTTGAAGCCTTCTTCTCCTTGACAATTGCTAGAAATAAAAAAATAAAAAAATGAAAGCAGAGGAAGTAATATCATTTTATTGCAGGCCTAATAATTATACAACTGGATCTCGCTCAGTTTTTTTTTTTTTTTTTACCTTACTGTGCATGAATGACGACACCGAAACTTAATGTTTACTCCTTTTAAATTGTGCAGTAGTATCCGCCATCGTTCTCATTTCTGGTGTTTCTAGTATGTTCTATGTCTGTTTCACTGATGGACGATGATGAGATCTCAGGTCAGAGGTCATCGTAGTGCCGTAACAGGACACGTACGCTCCCTCCGTTCTTAGCGAATCGTTCCCGGCAGAGTTTTTTTTTTTTTGCCCTCGGCCCAAACATTAAGTACCGCTCTGTCTGGTCCCAGGTTTATGTAACACAACATGGCGGCGGCTTTTGTGAAACAATGCAGGAGAAGGGGAGGCAGAGAGGACAGGGGGACGACGGCGGGAGAAAGCGGAGCAGGGCGTGGCTGGGTAAAACAGATCGTGTGTGTGTGTGTTTAATAAAAACACAGATCTGTGTTGACTGACTGGTAAGAGCTGTAATAAACAGCAATATAACAGCTGATGATACACTGTCCCATATATGACTGAATCATCCACGGCGGTGAATCATAGATCCAGACAGCTATGATTCAGTGAGTCACACCATCTGTGATGTTGCCTAAGCAGTTTAAAAAAAAAAGGTGCCGTCGTATCCTGCGCGTCCAGCAGATGTTGTTACCTCACACGCGTGAATGTACTGTAGCAGATAAAAGGATGAAACACATCAGAGAAAGAGGTTGATCACAGCAGAATCAGTCAAGATGATGTGAAGATCTGCGTCCCGGAGTTTTTTGTTTTTTTTTATTATTTTAGCCTTCTAAAGGGCTAACGTGCTCTTTTCAAGTCTTTCTGTGACTAATCCCACAATATCCCGTCCGCGCTGTGTGTCTCAGACTAGCTTAGCAAACATCAAACATCAAACATCGCGTTTTTTCCTCTTTTCCAATTCTCCAGATAATCTGAGACGTTTTCTTTCCTTTCCTACTGCCTGCATCAGTAATCAGAGATTTGGAACGCTAATGCTAATCTCTTTGGTGTTGCTTGTTTCTTGAGAGCGTTTTTTTATAAATCTGTAACGATTTGATGGCACGTGTAGTGAGTACAGTACGAGTATTTTAAAGCAGTACCTTTTTTTTTTTCAGCCATGGTAGATATTTTATAGCACTATCGACATCATGAAATATTATTATGAATTTTCTTACTGATCCTGTTTAGTTGAACACTACCTTGACATACGACAAAGATCTCATTCAGCAGCTCTGAGTCTGGTCTCTTTCTTAGCAGTCGGGCACATCTGCTGTCACCTAGTGGAAAAACTGTTATTTGCGAACAAATTCTGTAAATAATTTTGATAATATTTTCAGACCAGATGAGCGGAATTGGGTAATCCTCCATGGTACGTTCGATGATTTTCACAGCACGCTAGTGCACCAGAGCGCAGTGATGTGTAATCACTGTTGTGATACACATGTTCGTCTAAGTCAGCGGTGCCAAACCTACGGCCCGTGGGCCAAAACCGGCCCGCTGGGGGTTCAATCTGGGCCGCTTGATCAATTTTGAGAAATGCACAATACTTTATGTTCATGGGGTTTTATCAAAATATATTTCATTAAATATGAATATTTTCGAATATATATGTATATTTGCAAATTATTTGCAAAAAAACCAAGGAAAAACATATTTGACGTATTGTTCTGATTGTACTGGTCCCTGAACCAAATTGAGTTTGACATCCCTGCTCTATC